AAACAAGCCCGGCTTTCCGGTAACTGTTGTCTGTAGTCGAGCAGACAGCGAACCCTTGAGCTTCCATGTAGTTGCATGATGACCGTGTACCGGAGAAACTTGTACCGTGCGACCACCATTCAGTATCCTACCGGCCTCCCATGATTCGGAAGAAATTAGCCGCTAGTCTTTGCACCAATTTGCTGCACAACAAACCAAGGATACGGCAACGTAAGCTCGCCACCACTCTGAGTACTGGTAGCTTATTGCACTCAACGAAAATAAAAAGGACAACTGAAAATGGTCTAATGGGTTGCACGAAGTGGCGCCCACTTGTATTGTTCCTTGGTTGAGACAGCATTAAGTGTCTTTCGATCATCATAGTGCCGTGACTGCTTTGCTTGACATTCACAGACGCCGTCATGGAACCCCATCCTAAGTTTACCCTGACAATACCCAAGCTATATATCTCTCATGGTCGGCAGCAGTACCCGGTTTCCGATGATTTAAAGTGATCAAGAAGCAAATTTAATGCACTTGATCCAACATTGGCACCTTGACTGCTCTAACCTAGGCTCACATGAGCCGACAGTATATGAGCCCATATGGTGACATAGCGGACGGACACCAAAAGGATGGCACCAGTGGATCACAGCCGGCGATTACGATCAACCGTTGAAACAAGCTTTCAAACCCTTTAACATTAATAGTCATCAGCCAGCAACATTACTGTTCACACTGATGCTTCGCTGACCTGAAATTCGAGACCTTAGAATGAAAACGAAAAGTGGGCGAGCTGGCCTGTCGCAAGCACGTGGTGAGGCAACCTAGAAACCGATAACAACTGACATCAATCACGCGCCAGCTTCATTCAGCCGGGCGTACTGAAACATCCAAATGACGTAAATTTCTTTCACACCGGTGTCGCGGTTTCCGCCATTCAGAAACATGCATGCGGGAGAACGCGCAGTGACAGTCTGTGGAGCAAACGTATCACACAAATTCATTCTGCTTAAGACGCCGTTCGCCTACTCTGGCGGACACGTGCAGGACAACGGGAAGCTGTAACACGAGTTCACCTCACCAAGTTTTAGGATACCCTAATCCGTTTCACCTTGCTTCAACTTCATACTCGATATTTTTATGGAAGACTCAACACCAGCTTGTAATGACTGCGGGGCAGAACTGCTCACGAGATGTCGGGTACGCGCCGCAGTATCCTTGGATCTCGCAGCGTCGTAGTGCAAACTCCAGTGTACGCGCATCGTGTAGCGTGGAAATGACATCAGTTTATGCATCAAGGGTCACCATCATCATCGACAGCATTACATTAGTGTTCAACACCGATGCCGTACAAGAGCCAAGTTTACGATGCTGCTGTGGGCTACATATCATTATGTGGGTTAGGAAACCGGAAGCAGGCCACCGAAGTCGTCAAAACAATAGCGAACTGAGCTGCGCTGGTTATTGCCGTCTCCCTGGAAGGGGACCCTAAAACGAGACGTGTCTATAATTATGAATCTTGTCAGACATGTTCCCACCGCGCTCCCAGTGGCGCCCGTACAATCAAGCGTTTAATGTAGAGCTCCACTCTAATCTACCCAACCAATCTTCCAGACGATTGTTATTACGCATCAATTATACCGGCTACGGCCAACGATGCCCAGCTGTCCACCCAGCTTCCCCGAATCATCAGTCGACGAAACTGAGAGCTGTAACCACCATGCAAATACGTGGTTTCTCTAGCTGGTGCAGTGACTGCGAAGCACACACTCAAGTCGCGGGCGCGGTCATACATCTCAGAACGCCACGGATGAACTCAGCTGATTCATATTTCTCCCTCTGTGTGTCCGGTGATCCCGAAACAACTACTTGCAAAAAATATGGCGTGGGAGTTGCACATAACCCCAGAGCTGAACGCGCTTTGCTGCATCATCATCATCATCATCATCGACAGCATGACATCAGTGTTCAACACCGATGCTTCACTGCCGCACAACCATGACTTATTCGAAAGCCTTATTGTAAAGAAAAGAATAAAGGTGGACGGGGAAGGGACTTAGTGCTAGCTTAACACAATCGTTCCGAGGTGCCTACACATCCAGACATTCACTCAGGCAATCTGGATAGAAACTGACAACAAGAACGCCACTGACATCGGTTGGCAGCCATATCTTGTAGTGTCTCCAACCAGGCAGTGAGGTCCCCATCCTGGAAGCAGAGTAGCACCGACATCACCCAAGCGTTTCGTGACCTCCTTCATACTTCTCTGCCAGGTCAAGGGTTGGCCACCTCTCTGTTTAACTCAATCACTGTGCTGGTATCTTGAATCCTCGTTTCTGAGACACAGCACACATCAATGCCAAGCGAGTCCAGTGTGAGTGCAAGAGCAGCCCGTTGTCCTGCTTGCTTCAGAGTGCGGACATTGAACGCGGCCAGTTAGACTGGGTGTCGAGGCTTGAGGATTGATTTGGAGATTCCTGAAGATGTCGGCACCATGTGACGAGCAGATGCTGCACGCAAAACCGATGCATGACGGAATCACCAGTCCTAAGTGCTGGGCCTACAAGAAGAGAGTTAGTAATGGGGTGGGGAGGGGGGAAGAAAAAGCGTGTGAAGGAGAAAGAAGGGAGGCGTCAGCAGTAGCCCGTTTTCGCTTACCCGCCCTGCTGTATGCAGCAAGTAAGGCGACCCGGCTGATGGCACCACGCGACGGCCGATGTGGCATGAGTTTATTTGTGTATGTGCAATTCATGGTTTTACGTGGGCTGGGATACTGCCAGGGCGCCCACACCTAGACAGGAGGACGATTAAGGTTCTCAACCAAAGCCTTTGGCTCAAAAGCCTAACCGGAAGGCAGCAGTGTTTGGCGGGAAATGCAAATGCATTGCCATCTCTACGGAACAAGTCGCCACATGTTCCAACCCCCAACCTGGAGGGCCAGCAGACTGTGTTCGTCAGACCTCTAACCATTGACCAACCTGGTATGAGAGACTCTGTGAGTGTCGCGGGACACTCTCCAGTATAGCTCAATGGATCGCTGAGGTGCGCAAACCGTCACACCACGGTAAGGTCCAGTCTCTTCGTGACGGCAAACCGTCACACCACCATAAGGTCCAGTCTCTTCGTGACGCGCTTTGCTGGATCGGATTCAACTACATAGTTATCTTTGCGCCGCCGATTATCCAGCTCAATCATGTCAAAGGCCGCTCGACAGAAGGAACGGTGCTTGTTTGTAGTGCGCAACCAGCTACTCCACCTCGCCAAATCAATTGTAAACTGTGGGAGCTGTAGCCATCGTACAAGCACGCGATTTCTCTAGCTGATGATTATTTAATGCCTCAGAATTAAAAGACTGGGTGAGGGAGGGGGCTGGTGCTGGCCTACTGTAAGCATTCTGAAGTGCCTAAACCTACAACCACTCAGTCAGACAATCTAGAAAGAAGTTGACAGCACGCACGTCACTAACATCGATCAGCCGATATTTCTTGCAACATCACCAGCCAAGCGTAGGAAGCCTCACGGGGACCCCATCCTGGAAGGCGGATGGCACCAACAACACCCAAACTCGCTTTGCGCCATTCTGAAGGAGGCATAGAAAACAATCGTCTCGGTAGACGGTGTTGCAGCACCCCCGGGTATCCCAGGAGCAGCAGGCATTGATTGACTATCACCACCGGTAACTGATGGCGAAGTGGTTCATTGGTGTGAAACACGTGGTAAGGCGATTCTCACTGTTCCGGAAATCGGCACTGCAAGGCAAGTCTGTGATCTGCGTCTGAAGTAGACCATTTCTGTTGACCGTGCGTCTCGTATCCAACCGAAGACGATCATTCAATCGGGCCCCACCAGCGCTTAGCCTACGTACCCGTTCGATCACGTCACCAGCAACCACAATAGCTGAGCTTATAGCCCATTGTAAGGGATTGCCTAAAGCACCATAGAAGTTGTCCTGGAAAGATTCACAACTGGCCAATTGGGGCGTAAGCGGACATAACGAACAGAGTGCAATAGGTTCCACTTTCTCTGGATTACCTCACAAACAAAACGCGAAGAGGCGACTATCAACAGGAATCTAATCAACTTGAGACGTTCCCGCTCGTTCACTCAATACAACATCCACCCCAGCATATCCAGCTGCACCGGCCTCTGCATCAACAGAAATGCGCAGCCGGAACCTGAGTGGGAGCGAGGGGGAAATCAGTTCAATCACAGTACTTGCGTCATGTAGCCTTGTTGTGAACAAAAATACATCAGTGCAGAGGGGATCTGCTGTGCGAGCAAAAGCCACTTGTTGTCCTGCTTGTTTCAGTGTGCGAACATCAGAGGAATTCGCGTACACCGACCTTTGGCGTTTGAAAACAGACTTCAGGATGCCTAGAGTCGTTACTGAAGTCGGACACACAGAAGCTGCGGCTTTGTTGCGGTGGGACCTACAGTGGTGGTATTCAAATCAGATTAGGGTAGGTAAAGAAGGAAAACTTCAAACTATCAGGGAGGTATCGGCAGTGGCACGTTTGCGCTTACTCATCTCGCTGTATGGAGCAAGGTTGTTGACACCGCATCCGTTTACTCAAAATAGTGATCACGCGGCTATTTGCCGGGAAATGCAAGTGCATTCCCATTTTCACAGAAATAATCAACCCCTTCCCGACATGTTCTATCCCCATAGACCAGGAAGGCAGAAGTCTACGTCACATAGATGCCCCTGTTCAGTACAGCAAACGGTCACACCATGGTAAGGCCCAGTCTCTTGGTGATAAACGAAGCATACGTCACGAAACCATAAGTTGCAACTAATATCAGTCAGGCCCGCCCGCAAAAGGTGATATAGCCTCTTCACAAATGCTTATGGGTTTCCTAAGGTGACACGAGCACTTTGCATCAAGACTAGTTTTGCTGGTAACCCGTCTATATGTACCCTGCCAATCGTCCCACCGGGAACCGTTCAAATAAAGAAGGAAGTGGGTAACATGTATTTAAAATCATGGATTACGAAATGCACACCGAAATCGACATAGTTACGACCACGAGTAGTTCGCTTGACGATAGGGCGAACGATAGTCACCATAGTCATCGCCTGTAGAATTTGGAGTTAGAAACAAAACGACTTACCACTTTGGCCCATAGGTCCATATCCATTACTGCCACTATAATAGTTGTCGCGACGCATCCTCCCGTAATCCTGACCGTAACCCAGTTCGTCAGGATGACCGGGAGCTGTTCCGTAATCACCAGACCCTCCATAAGGGGGTTCTGCCATATGTGATCCTCCATGGGCGGACCGACCACCACCTGCACTGTAAGGTGGGGAACTGGGAGGTCCATACGGCCTAGAAGCATAAGGGGGACCAGCCTGAAGATGGTAGGTATGACCTCACAGAACTTACAGTACGGGGAGCATTTCCCATGGGAGTCGATGCAAGAAACAGTTCGATGTACCGCGATCCGATCTTTTCCCTATCCTTTTTCATGGCCTCCTTTGCTTCGTCGTGACTGGCGAAATCCACAACAGCCTCACCGGTGGGTCTCCCAGACTAAACATGGAACGAATAGCATGAGCCGTGAAAATCACAATAATAAATCATCATCAATGACAGCAACATCAGTGTTGGCACTGATGCTTCACTGACACAATAATAAAACTCACTGAAAATCCTATTACCAGCTATCCACATAGATGATGACAGCTAAATATGGGTGACAAGGCTTATCAAAACCAACTCTGTGATCACCAATATTGGAAACAACGTTAACTTACAGAATTCATCCGAATGCGGACATTCACCGGCTGCAACGGGGCCAAGAAGCGATCGATGTCGTCGGCCGTAGCCGAGAAGGGCAAACCCCGTAGACGGACAGAATGACCTGTCACACTTTGCGGATCCTCCGGCTCAGGATTGCTCATTGGTCCATAGCTCTTTGAACCAGGTCCCATGTGACTTGGGGGTCCACCAAACCCCCTAGGTGGAGAATGATATCCGGAATAGCCGGAAGGATGTGGACGATCGTATGGTCCGGGGCGTCCTCCAGGAGGAGGTCCTCTTCCGTACCCGGGCCCGTTCGGTCCACCACCAGGCGGACCGCCATAAGGTCCTCGAGGTCCACCATAATAACCACTACCTGGATAATGATCGCGTCCACCCCGGCCAACGATAGGTCCACCACCACTGCCACCACTGCGTTCTTCTAAGACAGAATAAGAAGTGAAAGCTGAACTTACGATTCGCTTCCATTTGCCGCTGAATGGTCGAATTTGCTTCCAACATACTGCTTTCAAATATTTCGATGTACCTAGAAGGCAAAACACCAAGATATTGGTAACAACCGGAATAGAAAACAACAATTATTGGATGTAATGGACTAAAACCGCAAAATGGATGACTATAAAAGCTAGCTAGCAATGAAACTACAACTGACGTTGAGTTGAACTGCCAAAAGCTAAAAAGCGTATAACGAAAATGCGCAGCACGGTCAACAGAAAGAACAGCTAAGGGAGAAAATAGTCAAATGGACAAAAACGGACGAAACACCGAAAGCGACGGTGCTGGCAGAAGCCAACCAACCATCGCTGGTTCTACGTGTAAGCCATGTCGCTGTCGAAAATTCTCTGAATAAATTGAGTATCAACCACGAACTGTAAGCATATTGGCAACAGCAGTTTTCAATGCTGTGGAGGTAGAATCTCACGTGACTGCAAAATTCAGGTGCAGCAACGGTGGCGCAACTGCGAGAACCCGGTAAGCATTGACTCACAGACCCCAAAAACAGAATAAACGAGTGATTAAGGTCGGAACAGTCCACGCACTTGCCAACCGGCACATAAGCAACCGATGATAGCATTCTAATGCGCCAGGAACCCAGGAACTCGTAACAAACCTATGCGAATAACCATACCTCATACTCCTGCCTCTAAGAAAGTTTACAGACGCCGTAAGACATAAAGGAGCAAAACAAGGAAACAAATACCCGAATTTCCCATCCGGAACCCGATAATACCCCACCTGTGCCCTATCTTCTCCATATGCTTCTCCTTTGCACGCGCTAGCATCTCCGCTGATGTGAATTGGACATACGCCTCCCCAGTGCACCGGCCCATGTGATCCACCAGTAGCCCGATACCGTTCGGAGCTATTTCCAGACCTGCGAAGCCCAAATCGGTATCACCCAGGAGAGAACGGGACAAATAAAGATGAGCAGAATGATGAAATGAATATTAAAAGCTTGAATCGACAGAGAAAGGAAAGATAGACTATAAGACCTGCTTGCACATCGTTAAGTTACTCGGGATACGAAGCGTTTGTCCATTAGGTTAAAAAGCCGTTCCTAGTCGTTTGCTATTGGTGAGGACCATGACATGGTGTCCACCATTGGTACAGAATCGACAGAAGTTAGAGGTCGTGAACATGGACCTTGTAGGGCCCGGACTCACCGTTAAAACGTACCCTCTAAATATAAATAACAGGTGTTTTCTGCATCACGTCACGAACTTAAAACACAACCCGTAAGTTAATCGAGCAGACTGAATGTCGTCGAGCATGGAAAGCAATTGCCACTTATTTCACTTTCGCAACCATATGCGTGAATGACGTACAGCCGATGTATTGAAGAGTAGGAAACATTTCTGCAGTATTCAACCGTCGATACTAACGGCATGTTGCTGTCGATGACATCTTCACAGGGCTAGGCAAACAAATGATAATGATCAAAGATGCGCCACCTACCCAATAACTTAGAACTTAGGTTAACTCGCTGGACCCTAAAACAATGCTGGGGGCAACCCCGCAAAGTTTACATAAGCATAAGGTAGGGGATTTTTCTTGACAACGAACTTTTACTCGATCCCGCTGGCATTTTGCCGGCCGCTTCATCTTTCTCGGGCGTAATTTGCTACGGCGAGATCCCCCATTAATTCTGGTTGGAGCAGCCTTATTCACACTTCTGATTTCCTTTCATTCACCGCCGTCACCTGTAAGACCACCTGGCAGATTTGCGGAAACACAACACTTCAGAGATTTGTCCGCCGTTTTTACACAATCAATCAGCTCACTGATACACCGGTCCTAGCAGCTAGTTTCGATGACTAAAAATAGGCAGCGTGGGAATAAATACAAAAGGACGATAATATTTGGTACGTGGGAGTGAACTCAAGACTACGCCCTGTTAGGCTTGCGAACTGGGTGACTATTAACCTGATAGGCAGTCACATCGCGCGATTCCCTACCTACTAGAAATTAGTCGGCGCGATCTATGACTAGGTCGTCACTGTGTCCATTGACAGCAAAACCCCAACGCGGACCATCAGACTGACAAACTAGCCACCTGTACGGTGGTGGTGTACCAACGGTATGTTCTGGCGACGAGTTCAACTGTAAAATAATATTTCTTCGTCCAGCTGTAATTCCGTTTCGGAGCCTAACTGCCACCCGAAGGAAGCACGAAGGCTGGGAAACTACCAGACCGTCCAAGACTAGATGCATAGGTCGTATTCGAACACCGGACCTTCCGTGCTCAACTGTATGTAATCTCCGGTTGAACTCACTTTTGGTGCTATGCTGTGCAGGCAATTCCTTCTGCCTGTTATCTGGAGCCTCCACGCTATAAAAAGCCCGGTATGATCACCGACAACGCAGAATCATTGCTACAGGACTGAAGTACGTGCTTTCAACCAACCGATTTATCGATGGTCTGAACCTTCCTGGAAACTATGCGGTGCAGTTCAGCACTACTGTTTCAAACAAAAACGCACATCGTTCCGGAGATACCGCAGCTGTGGTGTTTAAAACTGATACGGGCGGCGCCAGATGACGCATTAATCGATCAAGAGTCCATTAGGTCGAACACTAAGTTTCGACAGCGGTATATGGCGGACAGGGTGAACTTAACAAACGACAGTGACTCAAAAAGTGCTCTGCCTCAGATTAAGCGTCGAGACTTGTCACTTAGGCTATAAACTACCCGGGACCACCCACGCAACATTCGACAAAAGTGGAATGCTATAAAACCGAACATGTGGTTATCTGATACCCGATCCTATCGATTAAGACACCTCAGCTGAGTTGCACGCAACAGCCGTCCGGTGAATCAAACAGCTCTTCGGTATAACTTCAAAGCTCGCAGCTACTGCGCGCGGGATTACGAACGGTTCTCCAGAAGCTTCCGTACACAAAGCAGTCACCGTCAGGTATGCCCACTCTCTATCCCTACCCAATATCGTGATGGATGAAACAAAAAGACGAACGCTGGGAGGTCACTTAAGCACAAGATAGCCTCCGAATACGACCTTGTCGATCTTGAGTATGCAAACGATATCGTTTTCATTTTCGAAGAGGCGCAGGTGTTTTTGGGTGAGATGACCAAAGCCATCCCGTTCTTTGGTATGCATGTTGCGCTCGCAAAGTGTAAGCTCATACTCCTGGACACGTGGTCGCTGAACACGCCACTTACAGTCCAGGGACAGGCACTCGAAATTGTGGGGCATTTCACGTATCCTAGTTGTATTAGTTCCTACTGTAGTGTGATAGATAAAGTTATTGCATGTGTCGCGCTTTCTAATTTGAGACAGCTATGTTGTCAGAGCGGTATATCCCTGAATCTCAAGGGACGTATCAGACTACAGTACGGGTTACTCGCAATTTGGGATGAAAAAATTGCCCGAATGAGTGTCTGGAGGTGTAGGCATTTCAGCATGATTGCAGCATCATGTCCCTTCGCCATCCACTTCTTCGTAATAAGGCTTTCAAAAATTCATTATTGTATGGCAGCGAAGCATCAGTGTTGAACACTTATGTTGCGCTGTCGATGATGATGAATCGATTTGTTGAACAGTGAACGTATGTTCACCAGACAGCTGCGCTTCAAATAGCGGAAGCCAAACTGAACTAAAGCGGATCCATGTACGAAACGGTTAATTTGTCATCATAGAAATTTGTAGCTCGGATGCAAGTAGTTTCGGCTAATAACGAAGCGACTCATGGGTGGGGAATAGCACACCCATGTATTCACATAAACAAAAGCGTGGGGCCACTTTGGTATCGAATTCACCTAGTTTCGTCAAGGACCAGTAATCGAGACTCCTTGCTTCCAATCCTATAGGCGCTTTGTCAGCATGGTCGAGAATCCGGTAAGTGCCTAAGACCTCGGATTCCTTTCCCAGGTCGTCCACTATAATGGTCACAACCGATTACGTTTTGTAATCTGCTCGCACCCTGCCAACAGCCTACCGCTGCACCCTTACACCATGGTTTCATTAGCTTAACAAGTTACGTGCTCGCACGTATCAATGGCGTTTCGCGACGAGGATCTATAGTGAAGCCGCGGAGTACATTATGAGACGATAGCAGAGAACGCCACTTGTAATACGTGGAAACGGGGAGAAGCCATTATACTTTCTGCCCTGTAAATGAGACTTAGTTGCAATTGTGGAACAGCTGGCTGTGCACTTTCCTCATCGACTGTTTCACGAAGCTGCTGATCAAAAGGCCTGTGATTTTTGTACTCACTAAGCATTTCAAACTGCTTTCTGGGCTTAGACAACCAGCCACAAAACCCCAACTTACTGCCTCTGCTCTGCTATATGGCAATTAGGCACTGGAAGGAGACTGCACTTCTTTTGTTCCACGAATAACCGAAAGTTTCCCGAAAACTTACTTGTATGTCGTTCTCCATATCCTTAGTTCTGGAAGCAGGGTATTTTTGGTCACGCGCAAGGGACAATTGACTGGTGTTCTGCAGTGTGAAACTCCTTCTTAATACAATTCCCACATCTAACTAGATTTTCATCCATCTGCAGCTGATACTTGTTAGATCAGGCCCTTTTAGAAATGCAAGTGACCATTCATGCAACGCCTCTTCCTCCCTACTCCAGATAGCGTCTCCGGTATCATCTCCACATGAACTGGTAGCCGATGCTCTTTCACCCGTCGTGTTTGCATCCCAATGTAGGGGAACATCATTTCATCCAATTCTCTCAAAAATTGTGGACAACTTCCCCCGTAACCGTACAAATTTAACCTCATTCTAGGCCAACTGGGCAAACATCGCTAAGAATAACTAGTCATTTTGCTCTTCACGAAAGAGTGGTGGCGTTATCCTTCGAGGTTAATCCCAAATACACGAAGTTACTTCGCAAGAGCAAAACATGAATCACAGCACGTAGTGTCCAGCATCGCTCGAAAACCACAGATCCTGAGACAAATTTTCAGAGGATGCTGGAATGTGTTGAGCTAGCAGAACCACTTGCCAGAATTCAAACACCAGTCACCCTCACACTGGAAACTGAGCACAAAAAACCCTCTTAGGACAATGTAATCCCTAATGTGAGTGGCCCTGGACAGTGGACACTAATAAGAATTTGAGTAATTCGGAAAGCACTGCTCCAGACGGAACTCATCCAAGTGCTCCTGTAGTTTCCGGGTCCTGGTGTTAACGGGTACATTGGAGAGAGATTAGTCCATGAAACGCACCGACGTGGATGTAGCCAGTTTGGGGATTTACAAACTTTTTTACTGTATCTGGTACAAAGCTTTTGTTCAGCAGCAAACGCTTCCGTCTGTGTTGCCACTCGAGGATCGACGGGTTAGATGTTGCCGGACTGAACAAGCCCCGGGAGCGATCAACACGGCGGGACTGGCATCGAACACCGGATCTACCGGTTATTAGGCTCACGCCACAGCCACTGAGCTATCTTGAGCCCAACCGCCAAAACACATAGTATACGGCAGTTACTTAACCAGACGGCACCTCAAAACCTGCCCCGAACCGCGAAATCCTCGATCATGTAAGGGCTGTACGGAAACACAGTCACAGGGATATTACAGATTACTGCAAGGATATGGAGTATGTGAACTTTGACATTTACTAGGTCATTTCGAAAGACAGTCGAGCCCAAACAATTCTAGTGCGTTTGGAGTTTCAATCATATGATTATTGTGCAAGTCCACCAGGACCCACAAAGTGTGAATCGCTTGACATCAAAACCGTCCGAATGGTATCCAATCCACAGATGTTAGTTTTGGTGCGCTAAACACAATGCGGGAAGTACGCACATAACCCCAAAAAGCAGGGTCAAACGTCGCAGTCAGTTGTTCTCACCCCATGCAGCTAATCATCTGACAGGTTTTAGTAGCCTCCACCTACCAGTTTAGAATACTTTTCACCCGTCCGTGGCTTCGCCATACAACTCCAAGATACGCCACGTACCTCGAAAAAACCGAGGGATTACCCCTAAAGTTGCTCTACATCAGTCGATCGATTCTCCCTTCAACGTATCAAATATACATAGCAAAGTGAATTCTCACGGCGCTCAGGAACGTGACCCAGCGAAGAACAGCCACCGTTTGGATTTGGATGGGGTAGTCAGTGAACATCGTTAAGACGGACAACAAAGCGAATATGGAAAACTCACCGTTGAAAAATGCGTATATCTCTTTCTTCTCTGTATCGTATGGCAGCCCCCGAAGGCGAACAACATACTCCTTGCGATCACGTGTGTACTGATCGTGCTTCCCCATCGCGTTGTTCATTTCCTGTTCCGTTGACGGAAAAACTAAATGCTAGACAGAATACTTGGAGAACTCACCCTCAATGTAACGCCGACCCATGTGCTCGTTGTGATGGGCGGTAGCTTTCTCAATCTCCTGCTTAGTCTCCAGCTCGATGAACGCCTCGCCGTTCGAACGCCCATTTGGTCCCTGAGGGAAAAAGATCCCACGCTTTCCATTTTTGATTTTGACATCTGTGGGTTTAACTCATAAAGGGTAAAACATACCTTTAAAGAAGTCTATGATATCATCAGCTCGAGCGGAGTACGGAAGACCGCGGATACGGACAACAGCCATCTTGGAAACCGCGAAGTAATGGCGGTTGAATAACCTAGAAAAACAAATTGAATTTGGCAAACGATTGAATCACAAGGCATGCCTGCGATGACATGAGAGAAGATATGTACCTCACGTTAGTTCTATGGTGACTCTTCACAAGGCTCAGAGATTCAGTGCTAAGCAGCGCGCCGTTTGGATTTCTTCCAGGCTCAGCCGACCCAGTTAGCACGCGTCCGCTCCTGGGTGCAGAACTTGTGCGGAATTAGTGCAGAAATTCTGCACTAATTTTCGGCTTTTAAGCCTAGCGAGCTTGAGACGTTTAATAGACATCAAAGCTTCTTTATTTGTCTCACAGTAATAAAAAACCACAAAACCCTGCA